CAGATCGAATACCACATACCGGTACTACAAAGAAAATCTAAAATGCAATATAGAACGGTAAGCATTCACTTTTTGATTCATTTCAGGGCTTTTGAATGCAAAGTAATGTCCCGTTTGTGTTACATGTGAAATTTTTACTCACAGGAGTATCGTATGTAATACGGAAACACTGAATTTGTACGAGAAGTTTCAAATGGTTTGACGAAACGGGCACATCGTTTAAAACTTTAACAGCAATCAACATGTGGGGCAGCATGCGACTGCCAAACCCAATTTCTCAACCAAACTTGGGAACATCAACATTTGCAGAAAATATAATGTTTCAACATTTGGTGACCTCAGAATATTCCAACCTTTATTTATCTGACTGACCTGCAACGGTATAAATAACGTTTGGGCGTTGNAAGCAGTGTAGGCCAAGGATGAAAAACTACCATTCGTAGCTAAAGCGTGACGGGAAAATGTACAGATACATGTTATGTGGGAAACCTTCCCGGAAGTTATTATTCAGGTTGAATATATATATATATATATGTATATGTATATCTTCATTAATATCGGAAGAGCACGTTTAGTGGAATCCACTATAGCCTACAAAGCTGAAAGGGACAGATTTATGTACCTGTCGCTTTGGGTCTCCCGTGACTTTGGTCAGTGACTGAAAAGTTGTGAATATATTCTCAAGCCAATTAATGTCATCCTATTCGTGTCTTCGTTATGTATACCAATATACTCATGACATTCAGCATGTGATGAATTGTCCCGGTTCTGATCAGTTTCCGGCGCGACCTGAATGAGGTTATTTACTCAGTCTGAACGACCACACAACGGGATCCATAAAGATAGTTGTGCATAGTTTTATTCCATCTATGTTCTAGGATCACTTGATATAATGTAGAACGATTGTAACTTGGGATGCATATGTTAGTATTGGTTGTGATCTCCGAGCTGAAAGTGCTGTTGCACCGAGAATGTTGTCTAGCCTAGCTAAGAAATCTATGCATTTTACAGCTCAGACAACACACCACTAGTATTCAGTATCACGGGATCTCGGAAAGTTGTAGTGCTTCAAGGTGGTTAAAGTACAAACAGGCTACCATAAAGCATAGTTATCACCCAAGTTTTACACAGTTTATTATTTCGTGTAAGATCGTTTCCATTGTCCGTAGACGGTGAACCATTTTGAACCTGCGGTTAGCAAAGTGAAAGACTGCCGGGTGCGAATCCAAATTGCCGGTGAGAGAACAACGCCTATTGGTACTGAGGATAACACTTTCTAACATAACCTCATAAGTCTTTATCTATTCTTTCAAGAACATACCTAATCCTCTGCAAGGAGAAAATCGATGATCAAGAATACGGCAACTGTTGACCAAGTATTGTATTTCTCTGAAAGAAAGTGCACCTTACAAATTCATCGGTACTGGTATGGTCATTATATCGCCTATTATCTCATCTATAGAACTATAAACATTGATCTTAAGTAAATAAGCTGCAAAAGGATTCCACGGGGATGAAAAGTGATGAAATAAGCATGATAATCTATGCGACAGAGATGAGTTATGGGGAGAGAAACTGTATGTGGCACATGTTTGCTATGAGCACGGTTTATGGAATGCACTATTCAACAACCAGTTAACCGGTTCAGATTCGGTTCTCTTATTCAGATGAAAAGCTGCTGCTTTTTTCTCTCAATCAAATCATCATTGCTAAGTTCACCAACTGTATGGTTCACTGCCAAAATTATAGACGGAATGATATTCGGTTCGAATTAAACAGAGAAATTCCCGGGAACTTCGACTTCGACTCACTAATTGAACCCACTCAAGTAACAATATCATTCACGTCTGAGCATAGTGACCGATCTGTCGGACAGTCCTGACGTGACACTTTCTTACCCGATTGATCCCCTTCGAGATCATCTGTTCTCGTCTAAAGCTCATAGAATTCACGGTCAGGAGGAACGAACAGTCGGGCCCATCCCATCAAGTTCTTCATTCGGGCTTGGTAACTCAATCCAAAGTGCCTCTGTTTGTTAAGGGTGAAATTGATTCAACTTGGTCCAACCTGACAAATGTTATGCTGGACGTGGATTAATCAGTAAGTACCACAGGGCGGCCGAATTGTTAGTCAATTATAGGGTACCTAGTAAAATGCGATTCGCAAATTCATTTGAAGAACCAATATCAGAGGAAGGCTTGTTTAAATAAGTATTATTATGAGAAAATCCACTATTTCATGCAGTGAATCACTGGCAAAACAGGTGTCCATATTGATCGACTACTATTAGTAACGACAAGGCCTTATTTTCCAAAATAATTGAGAGTTCATGCAAACAGTTAGAACGGTGAGGCACGAGATAATTACGCATGGGGTCAACGTCCATCAACCATCGAGTAAATTAGTGATTTGGACGAGTTTTGCTCGCTCTGCATTAGTCTGAATGGATTCCGAGGTGTTGTTAATTTTAAGTGAATCTCTCACTCATGGTGTTTCAGTTCGCAATAGGGCTTCTATTGCTTGCAATGTGGTCAAAAAGAACCACATTATGAAACTATCTTGTTGAGAATGTCTTCGTTGTGCAGATTGTTATCTGATATATTGTCAAAATGGAATTTCTGTTCTTCCAAACGTTTATCATTCAGTTATGTGTTATAACACTCGTTGATAAAAATTACTGTGTCATTGCTGATCTGCGGTGCCAAACCTTCGATAATGCTTGAAGCGGATGCATTTGCCGATTTCATTGACGGAAACGTTATTGAAACAAGCAATTCGCTCATCCCTGTTTTTATACCTTCTCGTATTTGCACTTTCGCTTGGTAAGATTTATGAACCCGGTGAGATTTATTTCAGCTTTGATACCTCACCAACTAAAGATATCAAAAGAAATTTTGACATCTGGCCGAATTTATTTTCTTCCGGTATTTTTTGCCATCTTTTATTTCTCACTTTTCAGAAGGTGCCATGTTTTATCAGTGATTTCCTTTTAGTAACTTAGGTATCACAGGAACGACAAACACTACCCACAAGACGATTGGATGGTGAATTAGATCAGGCGGTTATTGCCGCTCATGTGTGTGTGCAAAAATGATTTCCCAATTTTCCCTTCGGAGTGAAATGAATTTATTTGTCTGAACTGATTTGTTCATAACCTTGATGTTTGATGTGTTTCGTCCCTCTCCGTCCATACAAAGCTCCGCAAACGCCGGTAGATTTGCAAACATTTCGCTCCTCGCCCACTAGTGCACGATTGGAGTGGAATTTGAAGAACGGAGGAGTGAGTCCGGAGCATTTTGTCGTGTACTACACCGCGGGGAGTGAATTGGCCCCATTAAATCAATGGAATCGTGCACTGACAAAGGGCGAATTCACCTTTACTGAGCTGGTAAGTTTATCACCTATTCGATGTGGATTAACGAGTCAAAGAAATAAATCATGTTTCGTGTAGTGGATGGATAAGATTTTTTCCTAAAAGTTGAAGTGGCCAGCAAAGCGGGTTCCTTGAATTGTTTAAAATAGCGTTCCATCGATACACTTCAGCACTATACAGTT